GTGTGAATGAAAGTTTAGTGATGCTCTATTTTAAACAAGGTCTTGAGTTTAATTATAAAGAGATTTTTGCAAGTTTCTGAGCTTAGTGTCTCCTCTCCATTTTGTTTGAATGAAGCATGAATTGTGAATTAGTGGAGATTTAATAAATATACATTAGCTTCCATATGACATCCGGTTCTAGTGGTAAGGAATACTCTGTGGTTTCTTTTTCCTCCTTAATGTGATGGTAATTATTACTGATGCCCCATGGAAGAGAGGGCCTGTCTAAGCATCCAAAATAATGGTCCTACAAACCCCATTTTTTCCTGTTGACTAGTATTTAATTTTCCTGTTTCAAGCAGTTTTCTATCAAAAAATTACCTTAGCAGCTATACCAAAATTATTATTCTAAGGTTTTCAATCCCGGATTCACAGGAGAGGACTCGCCTACTTGTCTACAGTGAGAAACCTCTAGTCCTGGTGTGTTTAACAACCTGCTGTAGCTGATTCATAGATGGCTATGAACAGCAAACAGTTGCAGTGCAAATGTTGTCTTAAGGCTTCTGACATCAGAATTTGAAGTGCTGATGGTGTGAGGGTGGATTCACTCCACGTCAACAACTTAGTCCTCTACAGGGAAAGTTCAGTTGGTGTAGTGGGATGTGAAGAGGGACCATACACTCAGATGTCAACTGCTCTTCCATGGCTCTGTAGCGTATCCTGAACAGAGTGGAGTGTAACAACTGGTGGGCCAAATCTCAGTCAAATTACTGTGAACCAGTTTGCTGTACAGTAGTACCTTTGCTGCAGTGGAAGCCCAAATAATAAGTTCCATAGTTCTCCTGTGCCTATTTTGAACCTGCATTTCTTTGTGTTAAACTTGTGTTTGAGTAACTCGTGTATTGATAGTGAAAAACATTTGTCTTTTCCAGTACTCAGTCTGCAGTGAGCCTTTAATTGAATTGTCCAACCCAGGTGCCAGTGGGTCCTTATTTTTTGTAACTAGTGATGACGAGTTCATCATCAAAACAGTTCAACACAAAGAGGCTGAGTTTCTTCAGAAGCTCTTGCCGGGTTATTATATGGTAAGTAATTCAGGACTGTATTTTACCTGTATTTTTTCTGTTTCATGTCACAGTGCTGCAGATTCTGTTTCATTTGTTGTCTTTTAATCTTTCATTTGCTTTATCCATATTTTTCATAATACTTTTGACATTTTTTTGCCTCTCAGCTTTGTAGCCTGCACGTCCATCAGAAAGAATAGATATAAATCAAGAATATTTTAAAGATAATAAACACTGTCCTTTTAGCATTCAAGAAAAAACTGAATGTCATCCTATGATTTGATACAAACTTTGCTTCTAATAAGCTAGTAACAAAAAAAAAAAAGTTTCTAAATTTCTAATTCAAATTTTCTTCTCCATATTGTGTTTGTCTACCCTCTGCATTTCACTCAGAGTGGACAGAGAAACTAGACCAGTCAGGTTCATTTTGTTTCTGGACTGCTTCTGTTTTAATTTCTCATATATTAAAATAATTATGTAAAATACTTTTATCCATATAATTTGTTCAACATGTAATTTTTAGATTGAGCTTTTTGGAGGCTAGTTCTACGTTGATTGCATTGGTTTTTGTGGGTTGGTCATCTGAAAGGGCAAAACATTCATCCAATTTTAACAAAAACCACTCATACATATGAACGGACATTCTTCTGGGTGGTATGCAGAACTTTGGAATGTTATACCCGTCTCTGACTTTTCTTTTTAGCTTTATTACAAAAACACTTGAAAAGTTACTCTCTGCCTTGTGCTAAAAATGAGGAGTACTGTTTACCTTACATTATTTTTTTTATTAGTGGTGTTATTAGGCTACAGTAGTGTGAATTCACTGTTTGTTTAAAAAAATACCCACTGAGAGCATCAAAAAGAGCAATGGTGACAGGTACTTCATTGATAATCAGCTTGGCATAATTTGAGTTAATACAAGAAAATTTAAGGCCACTTTGCTTTGTTCCTGGGGTCTTCATTCTCACTGCTACCATATGCAAGGTGTTTGAAAGTGTAAAACTTAAATCACTGATAATTTCTTATGAAAGTGCTTTCTTCCTGTAGTTGTATGTTTTGACTAAGTAGTAAGATTGTAGTTTTTACCCTTCTTGCTTTTTAATGAAAAAAACTGAGAATAGTTGTATTCAGTAGGAGAATTTTCTTTCTCGCCTCTCTGATCCTCTCAGAGTGAATTTTTTGCCTGTTGTGGAATTTGGATTATTTCACACTTTTCTGTTTTGATGGTCACTTGTGGTTCTCCACACTCCTGTGGAGATAACCTGGTCATTTGGCACTAACCCTCAATGTGAAAAGCTTTATGGAGAAAGGAGTTCTGCTTTTCAGAATCCGAGTCAAGATAATGAGAACTACGTTTGACCCAAGCTCCTTATGGCTGGGGGAATGCAAAGCTTGTTCAGCACAGAATTAATTCATTAAATCTTCAGGATGCTTTTAGATTTGGCCTAGTCTGCTCTTTCATGGGATGTGAGAAACCTGGAATAAATCCAGTTAATACTCTTCTCTTGGCTTATATAAGTTCCGGGCAAAAAGACTATTTTTGTGATAGCTTTCTGATTGCAGACCCACAAACAATATCAACTGGTCAAATAAGCTACACTGAATAGGGAAACATGCAGTTTTCTTCTTGTTTGTTAATGTCCTTGGGTATTAAAAAGAAACTTTCTTAAGCATGGAAGTTTATTGGAAAGATATGTATTTAACCATATATCTTTTCTTCTAGAATCTGAACCAGAATCCAAGGACTCTTCTTCCCAAGTTTTACGGGCTGTACTGCGTTCAGTCAGGAGGCATTAATATTAGAATTGTTGTAATGAACAACGTTTTACCACGAGCCTTGAAAATGCATTTCACATATGACTTGAAAGGCTCGACATACAAACGGAGAGCATCAAGAAAAGAGAGGGAGAAGTCAAACCCTACATTCAAAGACTTGGATTTCTTACAAGACATGCATGAAGGATTGTATTTTGACTCTGAAACACACAGTGCACTAATGAAAACACTACAGCGGGATTGTCGAGTGAGTAATAATTACTTACTACTTAAATTTCCGTGTTCACATATGATACAGATTTACCTCAGGAAAACAGAGAGCAGGACGTAGCTCTGAATGTTACTTACCCTTCCCATTCCATGCAACGTAATTAGGAAAGATTACGGATATCAAGGCACTGATGAAGCCTGTGTTTTAGTTAAGCTGTTGGGATCTGAGATCATAGAATGGGATATCCTGATCTGGAATGGGTCCATGAGGGTCATCAAATTGTGACTTCTGACTCCACACAGGGCAATCTAACATTTAAACCATATATCTGAGAGTGTTGTCCAAATACTTTTTACACACTAACAGGCTTGGTGCCATGACCACTTTCCTGGGGAGCTTGTTCCAGTCATTGACCAACCGTTAAAGGAAGAACTTTTTCCTAATATCCAGTGAGAACTTGCCTGAAGCAGGTTGGAGCCTTTCCTCCACATCCTGTCACTAGACATCAGAGATCAGTGCCACCCTTTCTGCCCCCATCATGAGAAAGTTTTAGACAGCAATTAGGTCACCCCTCAGTCTCAGCTAAGCTGAACAAATTTAATATCCTCATCTGCTCCTCACAAGTTATGCCCTCTAGGATTTTCACCATCTTTCTTGTCCAAAACTGCACACAGAACTTGAGTTGGGGCCACAGAATGCTGAGTGTAGTGGGACAATCACCTGTTTCAACCAGCTGGCTTAATTGCTTAATGCACCCCAGGATACAGTTGGCCATTTTGGCAAGCAGGACGCATTCCTAACTCATTGAGCTTACCATCCAGCACAACCCTCAGATCCCTTTGTGCAGAGCACAAAGTTCTGCTATACCTGCTTTGAGAATTGCACTGTTCCATCTGTGGAAACACAAGACGAATATAGAATATAGTCCGGTAGAGTGTTGTTTTAAGTTATCATTCTTGCTTTCCATTAATTTGGAGTTTTTAATTATTTCTATCTGAGACACAATACATAGTCCTAAATAGTAATTTATTATTTTTGTAAGAATAAACTGTGTAGAGCTGCAAACTCAGTACTGTTGGGTAAGTCTGCCTCTTTTTAAGTTAACAAAGAGCTAGGGAGACTGAGTTGAGGAAGCAGGCCTGGTGGCAGCAGTCTTAGTTCTGGAGCAAATTAACTTCTTCCTTAGCTGAAATACCATACTTAATGTCCAGATAACATTTTCAAGGCAGGAGAGGGATACCTGCCATTGTCCTTTGAGGGGACCTTGATGAATGGATTCCGTGCATCTTGCAGACAGGGAGAACTGCTGCAAAATGGGTTTTTCTCTGTAGCAGAGGCAAGAAAATAAAAAGTAGGGAAAAGGGGAATTATTCAGGTCTCTCAAAGTTTCAGAAGATTCACAGGGGTTGTGAAAAGAAAAGATTGGCTTTGTCTGAAGAGAATCCTGAGAGTTTCCTAATTAAACAGCAGAAAGGGTGAACTGAACTCATCACACAGAGTAGACCTGAACTTCAGAGTTTGTTGTTCACTGCCACCTGCAGTGCAAGATGGAAAGCCTTGTTTTTGTACATGAATAGTACTTCTTGTTTAATTATCACAGAGGTCTGCAATGCCTTGTGCTTGGTTTGTAAAACTGTGTGACCTAATATTCAGCTGCATATTCAGTATGAGACATTTATCTAACATCACACATTTTTCTTTCTGAAGGCTTTTGCAGTGAGCGTTTCCTGAGCTCCTGCCATGTGTGATAACACAGAATGCATCGGTGTGGTCACATCTGGGGATCTGGATGCCCTTTTGTGCTTCCCCCCACTTGCCAAAGGCTACTTGCCCAGTCAAATCCTGCGGAGGGAATCTATTATATAGAACATAATAAGCAGAATCTAAAAGAATTTCCAAATAAAATTAGTCTTATAAATATTAACAGAAACAGTTATGCTCATAAATGAGACCAAGAATTAAGTTTTGTGACACATAAGCAATTACTAAGTAAAAGCAAAGTCAGTAAATGCATTGAAGATAGTTTAAAGTGCACTTGTGGATTTCTTTTTTTTTTTCTTAAAGATGCAGAAAATTAAACTCCATGTCAAACTTAGTTGCTGTTGTCTTTTGCTATAAACAGATAATCCTTCAGAAATTTTTTCTGTGTGGAGGAATACTTACGTGGGGCAAAGGATAAGCTATGGTACTAAGTTGTGTGTTAGGTACAAGTACCATACGTACAACTCTTTATGAGAGGCTAGAAGGGAATTAATTGTAGGATTTTATTTTTTAGAGTTGATAGGGCACAAAGTAAAGCTATGCATCCTTTCCTACTTGTTTGATCTTTGCTGGAGCTTTTAGGCAGTTTAATAAATAAAAATTACCACTGTACTGGGCAGAGAGCACAGGGAAAACACTTCTGGTACAAGGAATTAATAGTCTAAACACAAGTAACAGTTGGCCTTTTGATCACTCCATGTTAAAAACTAACAGTTTTTTAAAGGTACATGTCCAAAATTATTGTCAGAAAGGTACGACAGCATATTTCATCAGAATACGGCTCAGTGTTTTGGTTATGAAAACACTGTTAAAGTCTTCCCTGTAAGCCCTTAAAAAGAATCCGTACGGAAGAACTGGCAACTGTTTATTAAAAGAAAATAACGGAATCCCTTCTATAACTGGGAGTATTTTGGCTGTACAGAGATACTACTCTACACACTATTTCTCATCTAGTTGCCTAACAAAGCATGTAACTTTGAACAAGAAACATGGATTTCAGGAGAATAGGTAATCACAATATTCTGTATTGGTAAATCTTTGCTTCGCACACTCACTCAGGTATGGTATGTTCTTGAATGTCAACAAATCATATGCAGGAATTTGGGGTATTTGAATAAAAATAGCCTGGTTGTGTTTTTCCCTTTCCATCTGCTGCTGCATCCCAGAGAGAAGAAAAAATTGAAAAGTGCTAAACAGAGGAATGCATGTAAAGGTAGTTACCTCTCTCAATTGGGTAAATGGAAAAAAAAAAAAAGAAGTTTGTTCCTATTGCTCATTACTTTGCTGTTAATGTCTCCTTAGTAAATATTTACCTGTAAGCAGTGGGATAGCCTCCTTTTGTCAGTCATTTCCCACTATTTCTTCCTTCTCTTGCATAATTCTTCATGTATATAAATACTAGACATGAAAAAAGCTATCTGTGCAAATCAAACAGTTTTTATTTATCCTACAAATTGGGTTGAAATTCCCCAGTAAAGTTGCAAAGACACATACTATTGTGAAAACCAAAGTTAAGATTTATTCCTCATCTGTTCGAAATACCGGGGGAAAGAGGACCAGATTTTGTAAGAGTCTGTGAACTTGATTTGTTGTTGAGTGCCACAAACTGATGCCGACACAGAGGCTACCAGCTGTCAGGTGCTTCCATGACTTCCCCCCCAGGGTTGAGGGGTTTTTAAAAGAGACCAAGGGTTCACACGTGGCGCTCGCCTCAGGAGCGGCTGCCACAGGACCGTGTCTTAGAGCGGAGATGAGAATAGCACCCTCACCGTACCCATGAACTGTTACTGGGATCAATGTTTACAAATTAACTGGTTTATTAATGAACGGCCACACTAAATGGCAAATGGCTACCAGGGATATATGCAAAAGTACTGTGCCCTTAAGATGTTCTCTCTGAGAACCCACCCCTTTTGTACTCTAGTCACCCCCTCTCCAGGCAGTGTCACCACCACAATGTATGAACATACTCATGTTCAGAGCCAATTGGCATCCATGAGTCCCAAGTTAAGGTTGTAACTAGTAGAGGTAATTCATAACTTGTTGTCCATCCTTCCTGCCTTGTATCATACTTGTTGTTTTGCTTTCATTTGTCCTTGAGCAGCAGGCCTGGTTTTGGTCCCTTACCTGGGAATAATGAGCAGAAGGTCTTTGCTGGCTTAAAAGGAATTTTGTTTACACTTATGTTGGGAAGAACAGTTTCCCACACTTAAGGATGACTTTTTTTCCAAGCGAAGGGTATTTAAGAGCTGCCTTTTAAATTCTTCTCAATTAACATGGTAACCTTTGGGATCCACATTTAACACTTAATTTACAAAAGTTGTTTCACACAAACTGACAAAGCAACTCTCTGTAAAACCATGGAATTTTGTCTTGCAGTTGTTAGATTTTCTGTCTCAATAGAAAGGGTATTTCTAAAGCTATCCATTGAAGTGCTAATGACCTACACATAGGCAAAGTATGAATGTTTTATGATTTCTCCCTGGGGATATCTCTTATAAATTCATGAAGGTGGAAAAGTGTCTTTTCTCTAAATATGGATGTTACTAAGAAGAGTGACTGAAATAAGCTTTACTGTTTCATTCTTCACCTCTTTCCTTGAGGTATGTCTTACTGAAGATAGGGAAACCAAAATGTTTCTAGACAGAACAGTAAATTTTTATAGTGTGTTTTTTCATTAGCAAGTTAGGAGACTTATTAGATTTCTCATAGGAGTATTGTCAGGATTATTTATCTGGTAAATCAGGATTATCTAGCTAATATTTCCACACTATCTGGAGGATTAAACTTTGTGAACACCACTTTTTTGTCTGATGATTAGAATAGGAGTTGAGTCATGAGGTTTTTTTCTTTCTCACTGCTTAGAATTTTTCAGGACATGAAGGACAAAATGCATTGCTGCTAAGACTTTGTAAGTAGAATTAGAAACCAAACCACAGAATTTAGCTTTTTGTATTATGGTATTTCCTTTCTGATAATTTTAAATGGAAATTGAGTTGATTTATTCCAAAGTTGTACTTTATCAGAATTCTTTTGAAATAGCTTGATGCAATACTGGTATGATTTCTGTTTTGTTTTGTTGGGGTTTTTTGCTGTTTCAGACACTCCGTAGCAATGACTGGAAATTATTCTGTTGCTGTAAAAGCAAAAGGCATAGTTCATTACGGGTGCTCTCTACATTTATAATAATTTTGTGCAAGTGTTGAGGAATGTTCTAAACAAAAGTATGTGCTTACCCGGTTTTCATTTGTAAATTGACTTTAGAACAATTAATATGTTGGCACTTGTTTTGCGAACTATCTGTTACAGAAATCTTGTGTGATCAAATTTACTCATTGGATTTTTCAAAACCCATAGTAGTGGCAGGGTTTTATTTGATTTCTTCTCTCTTTTTCTGCCTCAAGGGGTCTACACAGATTATTCTTTAAACCAAGTAATGTCAGTAACCCATTTCTTACCAACAGTAGTGTTGGCACAACTTCAGGCTGTATTGAACTGCAGCATGGGGCTTCCACCACCTCTCTGGGCAACCTGTTCCACTGTTTCACTGCCCTTATAGTAAAGAACTTCTTCCTAATATCCAATATAAATCTACCCTGCTCTAGCTTAAGGCCATTTTGTCCAATGGCTACACACCCTTGTAGACAGTTCCTCCCCAGCTTTCTTGTAGGCCACCTTGAACACTGGATTTAGAATTATCTCTTCGGATGTGTAGACTTCTTTTTCCTCATATGCTTTCACAGACCATGAGACTTTTCCTGGTGATTGCCAGCAAATTTCATTTTGCATTTTCAAAATGTGACTAAGAGTTCACAAGACATAGGAGCGGCTGCCACAGGACCGTGTCTTAGAGCGGAGATGAGAATAGCACCCTCACCGTACCCATGAACTGTTACTGGGATCAATGTTTACAAATTAACTGGTTTATTAATGAACGGCCACACTAAATGGCAAATGGCTACCAGGGATATATGCAAAAGTACTGTGCCCTTAAGATGTTCTCTCTGAGAACCCACCCCTTTTGTACTCTAGTCACCCCCTCTCCAGGCAGTGTCACCACCACAATGTATGAACATACTCATGTTCAGAGCCAATTGGCATCCATGAGTCCCAAGTTAAGGTTGTAACTAGTAGAGGTAATTCATAACTTGTTGTCCATCCTTCCTGCCTTGTATCATACTTGTTGTTTTGCTTTCATTTGTCCTTGAGCAGCAGGCCTGGTTTTGGTCCCTTACCTGGGAATAATGAGCAGAAGGTCTTTGCTGGCTTAAAAGGAATTTTGTTTACACTTATGTTGGGAAGAACAGTTTCCCACACTTAAGGATGACTTTTTTTCCAAGCGAAGGGTATTTAAGAGCTGCCTTTTAAATTCTTCTCAATTAACATGGTAACCTTTGGGATCCACATTTAACACTTAATTTACAAAAGTTGTTTCACACAAACTGACAAAGCAACTCTCTGTAAAACCATGGAATTTTGTCTTGCAGTTGTTAGATTTTCTGTCTCAATAGAAAGGGTATTTCTAAAGCTATCCATTGAAGTGCTAATGACCTACACATAGGCAAAGTATGAATGTTTTATGATTTCTCCCTGGGGATATCTCTTATAAATTCATGAAGGTGGAAAAGTGTCTTTTCTCTAAATATGGATGTTACTAAGAAGAGTGACTGAAATAAGCTTTACTGTTTCATTCTTCACCTCTTTCCTTGAGGTATGTCTTACTGAAGATAGGGAAACCAAAATGTTTCTAGACAGAACAGTAAATTTTTATAGTGTGTTTTTTCATTAGCAAGTTAGGAGACTTATTAGATTTCTCATAGGAGTATTGTCAGGATTATTTATCTGGTAAATCAGGATTATCTAGCTAATATTTCCACACTATCTGGAGGATTAAACTTTGTGAACACCACTTTTTTGTCTGATGATTAGAATAGGAGTTGAGTCATGAGGTTTTTTTCTTTCTCACTGCTTAGAATTTTTCAGGACATGAAGGACAAAATGCATTGCTGCTAAGACTTTGTAAGTAGAATTAGAAACCAAACCACAGAATTTAGCTTTTTGTATTATGGTATTTCCTTTCTGATAATTTTAAATGGAAATTGAGTTGATTTATTCCAAAGTTGTACTTTATCAGAATTCTTTTGAAATAGCTTGATGCAATACTGGTATGATTTCTGTTTTGTTTTGTTGGGGTTTTTTGCTGTTTCAGACACTCCGTAGCAATGACTGGAAATTATTCTGTTGCTGTAAAAGCAAAAGGCATAGTTCATTACGGGTGCTCTCTACATTTATAATAATTTTGTGCAAGTGTTGAGGAATGTTCTAAACAAAAGTATGTGCTTACCCGGTTTTCATTTGTAAATTGACTTTAGAACAATTAATATGTTGGCACTTGTTTTGCGAACTATCTGTTACAGAAATCTTGTGTGATCAAATTTACTCATTGGATTTTTCAAAACCCATAGTAGTGGCAGGGTTTTATTTGATTTCTTCTCTCTTTTTCTGCCTCAAGGGGTCTACACAGATTATTCTTTAAACCAAGTAATGTCAGTAACCCATTTCTTACCAACAGTAGTGTTGGCACAACTTCAGGCTGTATTGAACTGCAGCATGGGGCTTCCACCACCTCTCTGGGCAACCTGTTCCACTGTTTCACTGCCCTTATAGTAAAGAACTTCTTCCTAATATCCAATATAAATCTACCCTGCTCTAGCTTAAGGCCATTTTGTCCAATGGCTACACACCCTTGTAGACAGTTCCTCCCCAGCTTTCTTGTAGGCCACCTTGAACACTGGATTTAGAATTATCTCTTCGGATGTGTAGACTTCTTTTTCCTCATATGCTTTCACAGACCATGAGACTTTTCCTGGTGATTGCCAGCAAATTTCATTTTGCATTTTCAAAATGTGACTAAGAGTTCACAAGACATCTCAGTGTTTTGTGTAAAAATATTTATACTTCCATAGTCTTAATCAAAATGACATACATGGAGTTACTTTATTTGTCACCTCTGCAAAATCATGTTCTGTTCTTGTTCACATAAAAAAATGTACTGTTGACTCTTGATTCTGTACCAAAAATTATAACATTATCTTAGGGTGTTGTGTGCCAAAACATACCATAAATCATGATCTGCATGAAGTAAAAGAGAGGTGAGTGGCACAGCATCTCCCTCCTGGTCACTTTCCATTTTTCTCCCTCCACTCAGCACTGCTCTTCTTATATAAGATACTTACCCCAGTTTCTGTCTGCTAACAGTTTGGTTATATTACCAGATGTGATCACAGCTTGTCTAGTTCAGATTTGCATGTTAACGTGAACTATTACTTCCTTCTAATGGCAGTATGCCAGACTTCATAATGATGTCACTGCTGAGAAAGTTAAGAAACTACCTGTGTGTGGAAGAAAAATGAGAACTTGCCTACTGACAGACAAAGGTGGTTGGTAGAGCTGGAAGAGAAGGCTAGCTGGTTGACTCATATTTCTGAAGTAAAACTGCATTGCAGTTCAGATGGACCTTGTTTAGCTTAGTAAAGAGAGATGCATGATTTTTTGTACCCAAATCCCACAGACTGTTAATGAAAGGGTTGTAGAAAATGCAGTTATTGATGTTTGAAAGTTCTCCAGACTGCTTTCTTCATTATAAACAGGAGACAGAGGAGTGGTAGAGCGTGATCTAGGTAAAAATGCTCTGTAAAGTCTGGAACGTGCATTAGAGGTTACTTTTAAAATGTATTTAGTTCATGAGTACATGGTAGAACTATTAATTGGTTATTTGCTGGAAATAAAAAAGGTCCTGACTGGACATACCTTCCTTGACTACAAAATAATACCAGGTTACATTTCAGCTATGCATCTTACTTTCCCATTTGTAACAAGAGCATTGAGCTAATAAGGTAACTAGCACTTTGACTTATCTGGAAAGAGTAAAAAAAATATTAAAAAGAAAGCAGAAGAGAACCTTGTGCTTTGAAGGCCTACTTTTACTTGGGTTTTCAAAATGCTGCTGTGTAATTCATATCGTATGTAGTCTTTTTTTTTGTTTCAGTAAGCATTTTCTTCTTTTCTGATAGGTTCTAGAAAGTTTTAAGATAATGGATTACAGTCTGCTACTGGGAATCCACATGCTGAAGAGTAACTTGAAGGAAAAAGAGGGAGAGAGTTCTCAGAGCACATCAGACACAAAACGACCTGGAGGGCAGAAGGTTCTCTATTCCACAGCTATGGAGTCAATACAGGGCCCTGGGAAGTCAGGGGACTCACTTAGCACAGAGACAACAAACACGTAAGTACTGTAACCTGCTCTTGAGATATTAAAACTATTAAAACTTGCACATTCTGTTTCTCCACTCTGCCACTTGGGGATAAGAGGCAAAACATTCAAACATACACCATGTTTCAGGAGTTGAAGGCCTTTATTTTTTTATTCCTTTTCTTCCCCCCCCCCCCCAAAAGCTGGAGCAGCAAGATTTTCTGTAGAGCAGGAAATTCAAACATTGATTAGTAAACTGATTATCTTTAAATACACAATATCCATGTAGGATATTTCCTGAGATAAAGAACTTCTCCTTTCCTCCTATTTTTCTACCTAGCAAAAACTGCAGTAGAAATTTAATTATAGACACAATAGTCACTCTGTTGTTTCCTTTAAAATACATAAAGTGTTAGTGATAGCATTATGTTCACCATTTTCATTCTATATAATCAATCCTTCATTATAATGAGGACTTAATTACAAATTAAGGAGTTATTGTGCTGGTTCTCAAGGAAGCTGTCTAGGTAAACACAACTGATGGTATAGAAACATGTACTTAAATCTCCCACAAAAAAATGGGAGAATTGGGATATTTAGCATTATGAGAGTTTCCGTATGTTCAGAACTGTGTAATTTTAATTAGAGCTGAGTTTCACCCAGATTTTACAGCATTACTCATGTTCACACAGAAGATGGTGAATGGTGGCAGCAAACACTGGCAGTTCTGGGAGTTGTGTTTTGGGTTTGTTTTTTAACTTAAAGCCAAGGCTGATACAGGTCATCAGACAAAGTCTCTGTGGTTGTTAATTATGGAAATGCACCCTGGACACCCACATCACTGGAGCTGATGTAGTGCTGTCGAGATGCTGAGCAGAGTAGTACGGCTGCTGAAGCCTCCTGCAGCAGTCGAGTCCTTCTCGGCGCTGTGTCCTCTTACATATTGAAATAACTGGTAGTGTGGCAGATCTCACTGATGTGGATGAAAATAAACCTAAGTCTTACAAAAAAGACCCTAGGTCAGTCTTCTGCTTTGTTTCATTGTAAGGCCATGCAAGGAGGCATGAGGATGATAATGGATACCCAGCAGCAGTAGCTGCTGCTTGTGCTGGATCGAATTTCCAGTCACAGCTTCCAGGAAAACCTGACAGAATGTAGTTGTGTAAACCACTTAACACTTCTGAATGTAAGACTGGTTAATTGAGCTGAAATTTACACTAACGGGGTTTTAAAGTAATTTAAACTCTGCTTATTCTTACATGGTTTCCTTTTTGCCTAAAATAATAAAAAACCTCCCCCCCCAGTAAAAAAGAATTAAAAAAAAAAAGAGAAAAAAAAAAAGTAAATGGGATAGTGGTCCTGTTTTGCTGGGGAAAGGGACTACTGTGCTTTAAAGGCAGGATGGCATATATACTCTCAGCTGTGTCTTTGATAGCTCTTTCAGGTTTGTCTTAGTTTTTTCTCAAACTGTTAATAAAGATCTGGACATATTGCATGTGTTGGATCTTCAATCTCTGTTTTCATGGTTTGTGCATCAGTATCAACAGAAGCTTACAAGCTAAAAATTAGATTTCAGTTTCTGATTCTAAAAACAATAAACCTTTTTTTCTAAGAGGTGGAATAGACCTTATAGCAGCCTTCCAGTACCTGAAGGGAGCCTAAAAGAAAGTTGGGGAGAGAAATTTTACAAGGGCTTGTAGTGAGAGCACAAGAGGTAATGGTTCAAAACTGGAAGAGGGGAGATTTAGGTTAGACATTTCAAAGAAATTATTTAGTGTGAGGGTGGTGACACACTGGAATAGATTGCCCAGGAAAGTTGTGGAAGCCCCATTCCTGGAAGTGTTCAAGGACAAACTGGATAAGGCTTGGAGCAACCTGGTGGGAGGTGTCCCTTCCCATGCTGGGGGTTTGGAACTAGATGATCTTTAAGGTCCTTTTGAATTTGAACTATTCTATAATTTTCCATAGAGAGGGTCTTAGAAAGAGCACCCTGTTCTTAAAGGTGATAGCTGGGTAAATACTCTGAACCAAGTGGATATCTAGGCAGCTTGGTACTGTTACCTTTTCTGTCACTAATCTGTCTGTAAAGAAATTTTGGAAATGCATATACTCTAAATTTTTAATGGAAGATACACAATACAGCCTTTTTAGAGTTAATGTGCAGGCTCTCTACAGCTTCATTAGATGTGATCCATAAAGTGACAAAATTCTCTTTTAGCTAGGCAAAATTACTTCTTTTCCTTACTAATAAAATTATCTATGTTTTTTTCCAATTTTCAGATAATTTAAATATTTCCAATCCTATCTAAAAGTTATCCTAAAATATTCTTTGTTCATAATGGATATTCACCACTGGATGCCACATATTTTAGGTTTGCCATTTAAAATCAGTTGTATACCAAGTGACCTACATTTGACTGACTTTGCACTGTGGCATATAGCTTTAATGTTGTGTATATTTTTGTGGGGTTGCAAGTAGGTACAGTTCACCTGCTAATTGATGATCAGAGATGTCTTAAAAGATAAACTGATGTATGTTTTTTGTTGTTTTTTTTTCTCTCAGAATGGGCGGTATTCCAGCTAAAAGCCACAAAGGAGAAAAGCTGCTTCTATTTATGGGTATTATTGATATTCTCCAGTCTTACAGGTAAGTTGAATTTCAAGTTTTTCTTGAGTAAGGTTTCTGACATGACTTATGAATGCAGAAATATTACAAAGCAATTCTGATTTTGTATTTATGTGCTTAGGTTAATGAAGAAACTGGAACATTCTTGGAAAGCTCTTGTTTATGATGGGGTATGTACATTTTATTTTATTTTTAACTGCTGATACTTCAGCTAATGGAAATGTAACTTATCTTGACCAGGAAAGATTTTGCTTTGATATCTGTAGTCTACTGTGTGGTTTGGGCTGTTTTTGCCAAAATATTTTAGGTCTGTTTGCCAATATATGCCCTGATTTTATTTACTGATCTTTCAAAAAGCCACTCAAATCATAAGCCTGTCCTTATGTCTTAAGCAAGACAGTGGCCACTTAGCAGGACATGGATGAATCTGTAACTGAAAAATGTGCACAGTGTGAAAAAAAGCATTTAAAATGCTAGGAAGATTTTACAGAAAATGGCTGAATAATTCATAATTTCATAAATTAAATATGCAAAGAAAAATTCAAGAATAATTAACCTTTAAAAAGGAAAACCTTGAGTTAAGAGTTCACTTGGTTTTCAGTATGCCTGAAATGGATAATACCATTTATCTGAGGTGTCCAACTTCTTTCTTGGGAATTTACTTGAGAATTACTTATGGAAAATGTGACTGAGATTTTTTTTCATTCTTGTAGGATACTGTTTCAGTTCACCGACCAAGCTTTTATGCGGACAGATTTTTAAAGTTTATGAGTACGAAAGTTTTCAGGAAAGTTCAAGGTAAGAAGGTTGTCATTTTTACACTTGTAGGTATTTTTATAATAATTACTTTGTGACACTTCTCTCTTACCAATAAAAGAATCTTTTCAACATTACGTGTCACTTGCATTGCCAGAAGTTGAGTTTCTTTACTGGAGTTGATGGCATTATACTCTAATAGTAAAATTACAGAGAATCATTTGCTGTGTATTTTTTGTCACGTTAGGAGCATCTGAAGGTAAAGCAGGTTCCCTTTCATTAGCGTTGATAAAAAGATAAATGTAGTGATCTAATGATATTTCCAGTCCTGTGTCTCTTATTCTTAGGTGTATTTCAACTGATTTTATCTAATCTGCAAAAGTAAAGATTGTCCCTTCCAGCTCAAATAATTCTGCAATTCTGTGAAATACAGAAAAGAATTATGACAACCACAGAGGGTTCAGTGTGTGTACAGTAAGGAAGTCTGTAGGGAAGACCTGAGGAATATACCAACGAGGCAAAGATGAGTGCATGTGGTTCACTGTGGCCTGGGCTACTCTTTGGGGGAAAGCTGTTCTGGTTATCTGAGCAATGAGGATTTTTGCAACAATTATGGCAAGTGGTATAAAACCTTATCATAAGACATACAGATAATTTGTTTAAAAGGTGCTTTCCTGCTAATTATTTTATAAATCTGTAGATATGCTGAAATGTCACTTTTTTTCTTGTTTTTCTAGTAAGAGAAGGAATGTTTCAGCTTAGTCTCTAGGAAACAGTGTTTTGTGAGTTTTACCACTTTTTATAAAGCAGAGTTCTTAGCAAATAAATATAAATTGACTGCCTAAAACTATATGGTTTATAGAGGAATTTATACTCTCAAATGGATACTAGTTAGCAGTTTACAGTTCTACTTGTAAAGTAGAAGGTGTTGGAATTGGGTATCAAAATGTGGTATGGACACTTGGTTCATATACTACAGAAAGGGTATTGACATGGCATTGTGTCAAACTGATAGGAGGTGTTCTGTAATACCTTTTTGCCAGTGTGGTGCTGTTCTTTTAACATTGTTTTTAGATTTCTGGAGTGAGAAACATGGCTATGTGGTTAGAGGTAGAACAAAACACAAATAAAGGATAGAACTAAATGAGATTTAAGTGAAACAAGATTCACTATAAATACTAGCATAAAAGTAACAATTTAAGGTGTAAATCTTTCAGAAAAGGATGATTAATATAAAAACAAAAGAATCTTATATAATATGACAAAGTATAAAACAAAATTAATCTGAAAGGAGAAACAAGCCTTTCAAAATCCTACAATAATTTTGCCAGAGAGCTGGTGGGAACTCTGTTGTCTGAGACAATACTAAAGGGAACTCCTCTGCACTGATAGAGAGCAAGGAGTAGACAACTTGATAATTCTGTCTATTGAACAGAATAAATACCTCATGTGGCTATATATGTTTCCTGAACATTTGAGTCTTTTTTCAGTTCTTTCTCATTCTGACTGCTAGATTTATGTCAGTACAAGACACAACCCATTTTGTATTTGAATACAGGGCATCATGCCTAATTGTCTCTCTAATCTTAATTTGCCTGTCTCGTTTTTCCAGGCTATTAACCTGTTTTAATATCCTACTCTTCTTGATCTTCTCTGCACACAAGCCTATTAATCTTCTTTTACATAGATTAGTGGTTCAAATGCATTATTATACTTTCATAAAATAAAGAATTGGGAGTGTTCCTGCCTTTAGGAAAACTGTTTCTAAAGTTCAAGTTAGACATTTCAGTTTAAACTCTTAAACCCTGTTCTGAATGTGTGCTTTTTCCCATAGTGTGCAGAACAAACCTCCATAAATAACAACAAAAACAGAATGAGAAGATTAAGCCTTGGGCAAAGGCTAGCTCAGCAGCTATTTACTGTTACAACAATGTAATGGAGCTATTGATCTGTTTCTCTTCTTCAGTCTTTAGCCAAGTGGTTTTGATGCTTTTAATTTCAATTTTGTAGTAGGGCACAATATGAACTAATGTAGTGTGTCTCAAGTAACCTTGCAACCAATGCAAGGAGGTCAGCAGCTGGCAGCTGATCAACACTAAATGAACTGTCTGGCATCTGTCTGGAGAAGAACTACAAATGGGGTTCATGGTTCAGTAACAGTGGCAATAGGCAGTTCCTAGAGTTTCACCCAAAATGCCATTAGAAGTAGGCAGGGCCTTCTAAGAATTACGAAGGAGTTACTCATACCAGAGTGCTCAAGCCATCATAATTTTTGACATGTTTATTTTACCCAAATAGGATGTTTCACACATGTCACTGAAGTGGAAATTCTTCAGTAGCACATACATCATTATACAGCAGTAGTTCACAGCTCAAGGAAATTATCATAACCTCTCAGAATACTCCAGATGTCTTTTCAGTTTTTCTGTCTTCTCTTTTTTCTCTGTATTATTATGTCTCTGATTACAGAGATTGATACTCCATAGGAGATTTGTAACTTAGTGGTGTCAGAATTTAACTGACTTGATCTTTTTGATCCAGTGGGCAGGAAGAAACCCCAGAAAAGGACAACACGTCTTCACTCATACATGAAATAACAAAGTCTTTGGCTCTAGTTTAATAATTGCTTAGTGGGATTGTATCTGGATGTATTCTCATCTGTATTCAGAAACTCCAGCTTTGTAGATAGCTTGCTTTTTTATATGCTGTTAAAGATGTGTAGGTACATAAGATGACATCATTCAACACCTATTTTCATTTGATAATGCAGCTTTAAAGTCTTCACCTTCAAAGAAACGGTGCAATTCTATCACAGCCCTAAAAGCAACTTCACAAGAAATAGTATGTGCAGTTAGCCAGGAGTGGAAGGATGAGAAGCATGGCATTCTTGCTGAAGGACAAAGCTATGCCAGCCTTGATGAAGAAGGTAATATATTTCAAATCAACAGCTTAAACAGTGTATTTAAAGGAATTTAGTATAAGCTCTAGAAGCCCTGTAAGCTTCCCATCTGACTGATCTTTCTAAACTTTAGTCAGGTTATTCTCCTGGAGAGAGTTGTTAGTCGTATTTAGCAGAATGGACCTTCAGGAGCAAGATGGTGTCAGAATTAAGGTTATCGTTTGATGTTAATATTTTGGATTTCAGGGGATCTTAAAAAATTGTTCCAGCCCAGAGTGGAATAAAACCAGAGCTACTGCTATGCTTTTCATTGACATTTAAACAAACATGTCACAGGAAATGTTTCAAAGCTTAATTCATTGTTCACAGAGACTTTCTGAAAAGATACAAGTTTGCCCCTTTCAGAGCTCATGTGCAGCCAGGCTCAAAGACAGCTGTCTAATCTGAAAACTGGGCCCTGGTATTGTGACACCAGTCCCAAAAATTATAAAAATTCGCCAGATATTCATACCGTTGTTTAATATTTGAGCTGTGTTCTGCTGACTGTACTGGCTAGCAGCTGAAATTTGTCCTGTGTCCTTTAAAGGCAAAAAACCTGGAAGTATATATGTGTTTGATAGCTGTGTGGTGGCAGAGGACCCTCCCATTGAAGCCACAGGGTTTCAGGCTATAGCTCACTTGCTCTCCAACAACCTTTGTATACCAGAGCACTGGGGGTGGCCAGACTGCAGTCTTAATCAACAGTTTAAGGCTAAAGGATTATGTGTGTTTATTCATACAACCACTTAACGTTTGTCCTGCTGTCCTCAAGTGAGGACTGCTGTAAGAACAGGTTTGCAAAAGTGGCAGATACAAAGTAATTAGATATAAACATAAGGTAATTTATTAAGGTGATAGATGCAACAAGTTCAAGAAAGCAGTTGACAAATGTACTGACAACAACAGTACTCTTAATAGATGTTAATGTTGCTAGCAATAGTAATAATTTAAAAATATACAATACACAGTACACCTGGGGATGCTTTCACCCCTACCCAAGAGGTGAAAATCATGATATCTCACCCAAGGAGGTGTCCCTGCCTGAGGGGAAGAAGAGAGGATCAGGCCCATTGACCTGTTCCAGTGCAGATGCTTTTCTTGAGCCAAACAGAGGATTCACAAACTAATTTACTACCTTTTGATGAAGAGGGACTAGTGTATTGATGGATTCTTAACAAACTAATGCTTATTAATTAAGAAAAGGTAAGGGAGGTGCCCAGTGCCTGCTTTCTATGTAAATTCAAGCTTCGTTAATGCCCAGGACTCACTTCACATGCAAATCACCACATGAAGTCAGACAGGTTTGGATCCAGGCCTGTATTGCATGACTTCTCTGACTGTGGAGCCTCACTTCACAGGTCATGCCCAGTCTGGCCATTAGACACCTGGGTTTGAGGACAAGCAGACAGGACAGCAATGCATTCCTTCCTGCCAGTGAGCTGGGCCTGTCCCCCCCACTGGACATTAATTTGCCTACTTCTCAGGTCCAAGGCCAAATACAGAGTTAAGCACTGCTCATCTTGAGCTCCTCTGCACAGCTGCTTCTAAGAAAGTTAAAGAAAGCAGATTCCAAGTTCTGTTTTCCCATACCCTGTAATACCAGAGAGTGTGGGCATGGACACATGAATATTAGGATGTCACCTATTCAAACATATTAAGAACCTTTAAAAAGCTGTTGAAAGCACTATGTGACTCCATACATTTGCATAAAGATCCTTGCATTCAATTTGAAATCAAATTTATTGATGTTGTTCTTCATTTTTGTTTGTATAGTACTAGCTTCACGCCACCGGCCAGATCTAGTGCCAAGCACTCCATCTCTGTTTGAAGCAGCTTCATTGGCAACCACAATTTCTTGTTCTTCCTTGAATGTAGATGAGCGTTATCAACATGATCAACCTATACTTTATTCTAGCAGGTAATGTTGTATATGTGGTTTTACTAAAAGTCTGACAGTGTGTGCAATGGAAGGGGGACTTGGGAGAGAAGAAAAAGTAGAAGAGGCAAGTGTCTCTATAGCTCAGTCTTCAGCCTCTCCAGTGAAGGAGGGGTGCTATAATCCCATAGGATTTGTTGTGTATTTGTTTGTTATTTGTTTCTTGTATTATGACTGGGGTCACAAGTTAGAAAGCAAAACATAGCAAACATGTTATAGCATACTTGGAATTTTTGTCGTGGTCAAAAACTAAACTTGGCATTAGAAACTTGCTTAGGCCTTAGTTTGTGCCATAAATCAAACTACATTAACATCAGGGTAGGAAATATTTGTAACTTGGCTGTAGCCTGGAACAGCTGGAGAAAACTGTGATGTGCTAGAAGGAGGGACCTACTTGCAAGCTGAACTTTATTCTGAATGTACAGTGTTGAATGGTCTGCTTTAAGTTCTTTAGAAATTAGAGTTTTCTGAAGTTAATTTCTTTGAAACTTCACCCATGGCTGTGATGAGAGCCTGTCTGATTTTTACCCTGCACCTAGGCCACTGTAACCCACAATATGAATACAGGCTGGGGGAGGTCTGAGAGCAACCCTGTGGAAAAGGACCTGGGGGTACTAGTGGATCAAAAGCTGGACATGAGCCACCAATGTGTAGTTGCAGCCCAGAAGGCCAACTCCATCCTGGGCTGTATCAAAAGAAGTGTGACCAGCAGAGCGAGAGAAGTGATTCTGCTCCTCTACTCTGCCCTGGTGAGACCTCACCTAGAACACTACATCCACCTCTGGTGCACCCAGCTCAAGAAAGGTATGGACCTCTTGGAATGTGTCCAGAGAAGGGCTGTCAAAATGACCCAAGGGCTGGAGCACCTCTCTTATGAGGGAGTTGGGGTTGTTCAGTCTGAAGAAGAGAAGGCTCTGGGGGGACCTCGAGGTGGCCTGAAGGGGGTCTACAGGAAAGCTGGGGAGGGACTTGCAGTGAGAGGATGAGGGGTAATGGTTTTAAGCTGAAAGAAGAGAGATTTAGGTTAGAGATCAGGCAGAAATTCTTCAGTGTAAGAGTGGTGAGACACTGGAACAGGCTGCCCAGAGATGTTGTGGGGACTCCATCCCTGGAGGTGTTCAAGGGCAGGTTGGATGGGGCTCTGAGCAGCCTGCTCTAGTGGGAGGTGTCCCTGCCCATGCAGGGGAGTTGGAGCTCAATGATCTTCAAGGTCCCTTCCAGCTCCAAACGTTCTGTGATTCTGAGAGCATCTGTGTATGTGCCTGTACTCTACTTTGTACACCTGACATGTGTTGTGTTGTGTGCTTTTGCCTGCTTGTGATCTCTTTACCATGTGTCATACTCTAGAACAGCCATTTCTTTATCTGTTTTTGTCAGGAGGAGTAACTGCTGTGGGCCCAAGTATCTTGAATTTTCTTTGAAAAAATTTGTAATCCTGCACTACACAATTCAAGAAGCTTACTTACGTGCCAAGTTATAGTTCTTTAAACTGCATGTTTTCCAAAGAGATGAAGTTATTTTAAAAGACATCTAGAGGCAGTAGGATTTTAACTCCTGTTAAAAATTGTCCAACTACATTTTTGTAAGAAGTAAAATTACTTGCAGAGTTACTTGATCAAAGTAATACTTGCAGCTTCTATTTTCATCAAGTTGAAATAAATCTCACTGATGCGGCATCTTCCATAGGTTTGGTGTTTTGGTGTAAAGGACTGGAATGAGGCATGGTATGGGGTGTAACAAAGATGAAGTTTTAATTACAGAACCATCACAAATGCCTCTACACCCAAAATGCATCTACACAAGCTTTAGGAAATAAGATTACTAATGAATACACATTAGTAGAAATAGAGGTCCATCAATTCAGCTTCTCTTAGTCTTGTCTAGTTTGGGATAAAGTTAACTCTAAGACTTCAGTATTCCATGATATTTTAGCTAGTTTTAGCTTTGCTAGAAACAAGGTTGTTGGGTACTGTTTGTTGGGGGGGGGGGAGGACGACTGTTATTTGCTTTAAACATCAAATAAAACTACAAAAGTACTTTGTTAGCATCAGTTAGCAAAAGACTTGTGGAGTTGTCTGGATAAAGGGTTCAGACTTATTGCTAGTAAAACATTTCAGATACTCTTTACTCACCACAAATTATTTGTAAAGAAAAGCTGTTACTAAGTCTGTGATCTTTTCCTGTAAATATATTCCAGAATAATGCTAAAATAGGTTTTAGCAGAGCTCACTTTATGTATTTAGACTTGTTTACTCTCCAGTTGTGATCCAGTCTATGAAAGAACCTAAAGTGTACTACAAGTTGTCAGCTATACTTTTACCCTCCACATCTTTATCTTACAAAATCAGATTGGAACTGTAGTGTCTGCAGTCCAGGTTTGCACACTGTGAAGTCATCTCTACAACAGGATGTGGTTCTCTTAACACAGCAGACCTTGCACCAGCATTTATAGATGCATGTGTCTTTCTGTGTCATATGCCAAAAAAAAAGACCTTACCCTGTAGCCAGGAGATCTGCCACAGTAGCTGACCAACTAACATCCTTGCTTGTCTTTTGGCAAGGACTTGGTGGCAATTTTTTTTTTTTTTGTGACCAAGTACTGCTTTATGTCACAATCTCAGTATGTACAATTCACAAGTATAGCTTTCCTGTGATATCTAGGGGCTTTCTTTACGGTTTAAGAAGGCTACTACATACTTGATGTTAAGCTAATTTCCCCAGTTCTGGGCACTTGCTGTTTGGTGTCCACCTCTGCTTTCTGCATTAGTGCAGGCAGGTCCTTCCTTCTTCATGGCACTTAAGTAATACATCCAGCTAAATTTGTATTTATATTTTTATGGTACACTTCAGGCCTCCCATGGAAAAAGCTGCCAGGGAAATAAAGCCACCACAAACCCCATCCTGCGGTGACACAGAGTTGTAGATGTCTTAGATTTCTCTCACTGGGAGTTCTGCTTTTGAGTATTACAAAATACTGTGTTGCAGGACTTAGCACTTTGCCATTTGTCTCTTACAAGCAGAAAGCCTGGAGCTGTCTTTGAAACAAAGCCTGAACCAATTATTTGTTTACAAATGTGAGCCTGCTGTCAGTCTTTAAAAATGCAATTGACTATGATACTCTGCTTCAAGTTGTTTAAGAGAACTACAGTTTGGCATCTTCTTCATTAGGTTTTTTCCTTCTCCTCCTTCAGTGTCCTGGCACAAAGTAGAGGGTACACTAATATCCTTGTAACCAGTCAAAAGGAGATAATCCTGTGTGCATAGTAATAATACAGTATCTGTACAGTTTATTGACTCCTATTAATTCTGATAAGCAGTATGTGCCTATACCTGTGAGAAGACAGATGCTGTTATTTGCCTCATTAAAAAGAGAACAATGATACTTTCATACACCTTGAAGCTCACACTGTCTTTTTAACTTTGGTTTTTTTTCAGAATTACCCTCAGTTTCTGTCAACCATTAATGGAATTTTCCTCCAGGGACAGTGAAATGGCATTTTATATGAGAAAGGAGCTCAGCGCCATCTGTCCTTGAGGGTGATTAGCGCTCGTTATGTAGGAAGCAAGGAGCTGCTGCTGCCAGTGTGGTTAAGCAGACCGACGTGACTTGCTGAGCTGGAGCTGGCTCCAGAGATTTTTATCATGTGAGGAGGGTTTATGTTAGACCCGACTTGGTACAGATTGGAACTAGCATAAATGATTGGTAGATAATGCAGAGCAGCACTTAGGGATTTGTCATAAACATACAGTTTATTAAGAGTGGTTTTGCAGACTGACAGCTGATTATTTTTCACCAAGTTATTCCTCAGTCCTTGAGGAGTGAGAGGAAACTTGAAGCATTACTCAGGGAGTATGGAGGGGAACTGGTAAAAGTAGTGAATGGAGTAGTGGGGATGAGAAAATGGCTGTATTTTTCAGCACAAAAGGAACTCTATCTAAAAAAGGGAAGGAAATAGGAAAAAATGGACAAATGTGTTACTCAGCAAATGTAGGCTTTCATGTTAGAAGACAGCTGGTTTCTGTTCTATGAAACTATTTCTCAGTGAAGTGTTTCTTTCATAAGCAATATCAAGTGTCATTACTAAGAGAATTGGCAATTTATTGCTTCTATTTAAATTTTCAAAGATTTTCCACTCCTCAAATCGATTTATATTTGATGCAGATGTATTTTAGTACCTAAAAAAATCTCTTTTTCAGTAGAATATATCTAATTTTGAAGTCCAAATGCATTTCTTTGAAAGGTTTTGTTTGCTATATCTTAGAAAATGTAATACTTACATGTTATATCAGATATTATTTTTATAGCAGAGGTGTTAACAGATTTTTCCTCCCTCCAGATGAAGTTTTCCTAATTAGTACTGATGAATTAAATTACAGATTAATATTCTAAATGTCCAGAGCAGTATGACTGTTGTCTCAGTTGACATTGCTTATACAATTGCAAAGAATAAAAGAAGGCTAATAATGTCTTTGCAGGTGCTACTGGAAGTGTTTTAAACACGAGTTTCAAGATACAACAGAAAGTCTCTTTCCAAAGTACTTTCAGCAGATGTCATGGCTTCCAGTCAGTAACCCAAACAAAATCCCATGATATATAAAGGGGTACTTTACCTCTCTGTCTTTAGAGCAAAGCCAAGACTGAAGGCGTACATAAGGAAGATTGCTGAGTTCTTTTTGTATGCTTGAGCCTAGGAAAACAATTTATGTGAAATCTAGTTCTTGTTTCTCTTTATGTGTTCTGTACCTCCTTTCTGTAAGATGTGTATGTAGTATAGACTTGTGCCTTCTCTTTCCTCCTCTTCCTTTTCTGTGTATTTTTCAATTGTTTATTTTCCTTACCTTTGCATTGCTTTTTTTCGGTGCAGACTACTTGAAATTTTGGAAGGCTTTGAGGCTTTTTTGTTTTCCTTTTACACAGTCAAAACTTTCTGGAATGTCCAAACTTTGAACAGAAGTGTCCCATGACTTGATATTTTATCAAT